AAACTAGGGCAGGTGCTGATTGTGGAATAGACTATCAACTACTCATGTGCAAGTTCTAATTAAAACTAAAGAAGGTTAAATTATATCCACAAAATTTGACCTTGAGTCTGTCTATTTCCCATGAATTTAAAAACCAATTCAGGTTAAAAAACAAAAAGCAAACAATTCAGGAATAGGTTCGGGGCCTTGAAAACTAATGAGTGAAGACCAGATAAGCTGTAAGGAAATGTCAAAAATATTGTTCATGAAGAATGCAAAAAGTCATTACAAAGAAGGAAGAAGACCAAAATAGATGTCAAAAGAGACTCTGAATATTGCGCCAGAGTGATGAGAAGCCAAACCAAAGGAAAGAAATCAAGAAGGTAAGGAGCTGAATAAAAGATTTCAAAGCGTCTCTTGGGAAGACAAGGCAAACTATTATAACGAAATGTGCAAGGAGCTATAGTCGAAAAATCAAAAAGGCAGGACTTGGTCAGCATTTAAACTGAAAGAACTAAAGAATAAATTCAAGCCACAATTTGCAACGCTTAAGGATGCTATGGGCAGAATATTGAATGATTCAGGAAGCAATTAAAAGAAGAAACAAGGAGTATACAAAGTCATTGTACCAAAAAGAATTGGCTGACACAGAAGAATTTAAAGAAGCAACATATGATCATTGATTGTGTGGATCACAATAAATTGTGGCTAACCTTGAGAAAAATCAGAATGCCAGAACACTTGATTGTGCTTATATGAAACCTATACTTGGACCAAGAAGCAGTCATCAGAACAGAGCAATAAATACTGCATGGTTCAAAATCAGCAAAGGAGTGAGTTATGGATGCATCCTGTCCCCATAACTTTTCAATCTGTATGCAGATCATTCATGAAGCAGGGCTATATAAGAAGGAGTGTGGCATCAAGATTGGAGGAAGATTATTAACAACCTACAATACGCAAATGACACAACCTTGCTTGCTGAAACTGAAGAAGACCTGAAGCACATGCTGGGAAAGGTCAAGGACTGTAGTCTTCAATATAGATTGAAGTTCAACATCAAGAAGACAAAGATTCTCACCACTGGGCCAATTGGCAGAATCATAATAGATGGAGAAGAGATTGAGGTTGTTAACAATTACAGCTTCCTTGGATCCACAATCAATACTCTTAACACCAGCATTCAGGAAATCAAAAGATGAATTACTTTGGAAAAAATCTGCTGTCATAGACCTCTCCAGAGTGCTGAAGAGCAACAATGTGAATCTAGAGACAAGGTACACCTAATCCAGGCCATGGTCTTCTCAATTACTTGCTATGCTTCAGAGAGCTCAACAATAATTAAGGATGACAGAGGAAGAAGAATAGATGCCTTCGAGTTGTGGTGTTGGAGGAGTCTTGAGCATACCATGGACCACCAAGAAAACAAATTGGTCTGGCATGGAGAGAGTAAAACCAAGTCTCCCTTTGGAGGCAAGGATTTTGAAGCTCTGCCTCACGTACTTCGGGTGTGTGGCCAGGAGAAATTGGTCCTTGGAGAAGGACATCATTCTTGGAGGGTGGAGGGACAGCCAGAAGAGGAAGACTCCGGATGAGATGGATTGATACAGTATCTGGGGCAATGTGGATTGGTGTGTTGGAATTAGTGAGACTGGCTCAGGACAGGAAAGGATTCAGAGCTGCTGGTACATAGGGTTGACGTACATTACAGAGGACTCAATGGCACATAACAACAACAACATACTATTTTTGGTTGTGGTTTTATCGTTTTTGTTTGTTTGCTTGTTTTAAATTTAAGCCTCTTGTTTAGAGTCAACAAGACCTTGGGGAGGGCCTTTAAATTTAAAGTTGCTTGTTATTATATTTTGGAGGAATGCTCTTTTAAATGGCACTCTTCTGTCAATTTGCTGTACTGAGGTAATCTGAGGTTGCTGTGATGCTGAACCTTGTGCCATTGGGGTGTCAAGTGCCATAATAGCTACCTATGGTGGACAGTGTCCGGTAGAGCTCTCAGTTTAAGACAGGTTTGGAAGCAGGAGTGGCATCCACTTCCTAAACAATAGGCCTCTGGAAACTCTATGAACTTTGATAAATGTCAATAGTTATAGAAAGGCTTCAGGTCTTTTGATCATAGGGTTGCTATGATTCCAACTCGAAGGCAGTTAACAACAATAACAACAATGCAGAAGACACAAGTTCAACTTGCTGCCCATGCACCTCAAGTGCAGCAAACACCTGTCTGTCTTGAAGTTTAGCAAGTTTTAGTAGAGCTTCTAGATTAAGAAGAACTAGGAAGAAACAGGAAGAAAGGCTTGGTAATCCACTTTCAAAAAGCAAGCAGTGAAAATCCTATAACTCATACTTGTTTGGTCCTATTTTAGGTTGAGGGTAACATAAGTCAGGATTGAAGTGAGAGGATTCCTTACATGAAGATAATTAACAATGGAAGCACCATATTTGTAATGTGAATGACTGGTCAAATTTTTAAACACACCCTGTAGTCATCAGTAACCAAGGATAATAGAAGAAGAATCAGTACCTTTGAGTTGTGGTGTTGGAGAAAAGTACTGAATATGAACTGCCAAGAGAATAAACAGGTCTGTCCTGGAGAAGGTGAAACCAAGCTGCTTTTTGGAAGCAAAGTTTTTGAAGCTCTGTCTCATAGACTTTTGGCATGTGGCCAGAAGAGACCAATCCTTGGAGAAAAACATCATGCTTGGAAATGTGAAGGGACAGTGCAGGAGCAAAAGACTGTGAATGAGATGGATTTACACAGTAACTGGGATAATAGGGCTAGGTGTGTCAGAGGCAGTGAGACTGGCTCAGAATAGGTCATTGTACAAAGTGTCACTAGGAGTCATGGCATATAACAAAAATATAATCATTAATTGTTAAACTTCCATGATTTTAACTAGCCCATGGGCTTTTTTTTGTTTGTTTATTGTTGCCAATGCCTTATAAATTCATAAACACTAAGCCTCTCATTTGGGTAGCAGTTGAGTGAATTCCCTTATAGGCAATCTTTAAAGAAATAAAGTTTCTGCTTATGCCTTTAGTTTTCTATTGTTTGCTTCAATTGTGAGACTCTATTAATGAATTCATCAATTTAAAAGTAGGGTATATTTTCCACAATCAAAATTCAGAGAAGAAAAATAAATATATATGACCAGAATAAATATAATATTTATTTTTAGCAAATTTATGGATAACAATAGTTACTATCTGTAATAATTTTCTCTTCTACATACATGAAAAACTCACTCCCATGGAGTTGATTCTGACACATAATGACACACCATTGGGTTTTGAAGGCTATAAATCATACTGGGAGGAAACTGACCATCTTTCTCCCACACAGCTGCTAGCTACCAGAGACACTTGCTCTTTTGGTTACCAGTAACAAGCTACACATTATATTACAAGAGTTCCTACTTACATTTATGGTTAATGATTATTCTATGTTGGTTAGTAGCAAAGCCGATCACTCCAAAGATTTAGGTCTTTCTGAAACACAAATGATGTGCTTTTGATGGACTATCCCACACCCTTAAAATATTTAATAGATATAAACATTTCAGATTTTACATTTCTGGGGTGCAGAGATGATCTGCACTTGATCCATGCATTTAATTTTCTATTATTTCTTTGATTTATGAGACCTGCAGTGGTTATTACCAATTTAAAAAATGCCTATTTGTCCCCAAAACATTGAATCAATATTTATTCTGGTAGTTTAAAAAATTATTTTTTATTTTATATTGGTTTATATACAAAAGTTATAAACATTGTATTCTGTTTATCTACTGTGTTTCACACATTCCTTTATTCACATTATATATCGTACAATCATCCTCATACATTGTAGTTTTAGAAAATTAATTACCATTGATCCGTGCTCACCAATATCATGCCTTTTCAGGTTCCCTCTTCATCTCTTTCCGAATTCCTTCATATCCTCCCTCTGCCCACCGTTCTCTGTGACATTGCGATTTCTCATCCCTCCTTACCCTCAGCTTCCCTCCTCATCCTCAGCTTCCCTCCTCACCCTCAGCTTCCTTCCCCATCCTCAGCTTCCCTCCTCACCCTCAGCTTCCCTCCTCACCCTCAGCTTCCCTCCTCACCCTCAGCTTCCCTCCTCACCCTCAGCTTCCCTCCTCACCCTCAGCTTCCCTCCTCGCCCTCAGCTTCCCTCCTCATCTTGATACCTAAGTTTTGATTGGAGATCTTATCTTGATTGCTTGCTGCATTCCTAATTTGAAAAGAATTTACACATACCATTTGTGGAGAAACATTTTTTAACATGCAGTAAGTAGTTCTTTTCTCTTTTGTCAAGTTTATTCTGTGCGGATTTTTACATATCTTGTCATTCACTGTGACAATCTTTATTTTAATGACATTTTATGTCTTTTTTTGACATTTTATGTCTTAATTGTGGTTATTATTGATGATAATTTCTTATACATCTGGGTAAGAACTGTTACTTTATTGAGATTTTTCAAAGATAATGTTTAGTTGGAATAAACCAAGAAAAACAATCAAAGTAGGACTATGAGGATAAGTCAGCTGCTTTTCACAGGAATGCAAATAACAGCAAGATACTATTACATTTGTTCAGACTAAGTCATACAGCTTTGCATTTGTAGAAGTTATTTAGAACTATGGAAATGCCCTCAAATCGTCTATTGTGTTAGATATTAACTTATATTTGTTTAAAAATACTTTTAAATCAAATATTTACCTTAAAAAATAGCTCTGAAAAAAATAGCTCGGAAAGGAGGCAAAAAGGAAAATACAAGTGCTGTTATTATTGTTCTGTGCCATTGAGTCTACATACATGTATTTATATATATGGAGAGAGCAAATAAATGTCCTCTCTAATGAGCTTCTGTAAATTATAAGTAAATTTTAAAATAAACTAAACATATGAAACAAATATTAATACAAGTTTTCAAGATAATTAAGAGACATCTTGACTTCTTTTGTTTTTCCAAAAGAAAGCTTTTTTCACATCTGTGTATGTGTTAGAATTTTCTTCTTTTTAGCATATGTTTCATTTTCCACAGAACTCTTAAAGATGTTTGTCTTAATTTATGGTTTCTGAGAATTAGAATATATGAGTGGCTTGAAGGACAAAGTAGAGCAATCAACTCACCCACTATCACAGCTAATTCAGTCTCTGGCATAAAGTAGCTAGAAGTGGCCACAAGAAAGGCCAAACAATAGGCAGTGAAGAGGATGATGTAGGAGATGACAGTTTTCATGGCTTCTACATGGGCAGCTGTGCTGGGGTCTCTCCACCCTGTGGCATTTAGCTTCATCTGTCTGTTATGTCTCCATAGGGAGAGGATCAAGAGGAGAAATGAGACCAAGGATACTGAAATGGGGAATAGGGTTAACAAGTTGAGAACAACCTTGGTAGAAGCATGTTGAACTTTATTTACTCTGCATTTCAAAGTTGAGTTTATTTTCCACTTTACCTTGACACAATTCCTGAAATCATCATTCAAATTCTTCGTTACTGGAAGGCTGATAAATACAGACAGCATCAAGCTCCCTAGCAGAAGCCAGAGAATCATTTTGTCAATTTTCCATTTCATCCAAAGGAATAGAGGATGGAAAAAATTAGCTATCTTGAGGAAATAGAAAATGCTTAGGCAGGTGGCAAACCAGACACTTAAATGGTTGGTTAGTGTCCAGAAGAAGTCAATGATTTTCATTTGTTTACCCATGGCGTAGACATCTGGATACAACACCAATATAAAGCAATCTAGTAGTATTGTGCACAACAGACACATTCTAGATATGGCAAGACTTGTGAGGATTAAATCGATGGAGGCAATCTTCCTGTTTTTAAACAAGTCTATACAGTTTACCAATGCAATGAATGCATTCCCTAACATCCCCACTGAAAATTCTCCAGCTACTAAGAGGATTAACATGCTGTCCACTTTACCTGGCATGTTTGGATAGAAAAATGTTCTTTGTTTCTAGTTGACCTGTTGCAGTCTGATGTCTACACCTGCTTCTTAGATTTTTCTATAAGTTTCTTTACCTCTTTTCTTGTAGTCTGTCTTATGATGGAGTCTGGAACAATAAATGAAGACAGTAGCTATCTTTATTAACTCCTGTTTAGTCTTGATATACAACATACCTGGTGATCCCTGGGCTGGACACTGCAGGTCCATTTACTTTCTCAGCAGCTTGTACCTTTCCACAATTGGCTTAATTTAGGCTGAGCTACTGTTTGTTAAGATGCAAATAGGAATTGCTTCCGTTCATGGATGATCTGTACTATATTTCTGAGGCTATTTTAAAAATCTATTTTGGATTCATTAATCTGTAATAGTGGCCTTACTAGTGCTGACATATTTAGCAAATATGAACAGGACACCTAGTTAAATTTGGATTGTAGATAAAGAATGACATTCTTATTTACGGATCATGTGAAATTAATACTTATGTGAAGTGCTGAAATACAAATTAACTGGGTGTCTTGTACTTCATCTGATAAATCCACACCTCAAGGATCTGCTAGCAATTAGAAAAAGCAAAATACGTTTACTGAGAAATCTTCCTTTTTTTGATAAGAAGTTATACATATTATTAGTATAGAATCTGAAGTTTGATTTCAAATTTAGAAGTTTACCAGTTTATAATTAAATATGGATGGCTTGGTTCTAAAAGAAGTGCTTACACTAGTTTATTTTGCTTATTTAGATAAGTGATCAGCACAAAATATCTTGAAACAATGCATTTCCCTTTTCTTTCTTGTTTTGTTCTGTGTTGCTCACCTTCTCACTCTGTATTGCCCTTTCTTTAACAGGCTAGTCCTAGAGAGAGTGAAACTAAGGTGCTCCTCCGAGGCAAGGATTCTGAAGTTCCGTCTGACAAACTTTGGGCATGTTGCAAGAATTGACCAGTCCTTGGAGAGGGACATTGCAAGAGAGGAAAACTTGGATGAGATGGATTGACTAAGTGACCAGGGTAATGGAGATGCATGTGTAGAAAATGATGAGGTTGGCTCAGGACAAAGTAGGGTTTAGAGCTATTGTACATATAGGATCGATGTGAGTAGCAAGCAACTCAGCACAATTAATAACATTATCTAATCAACGATTTTCCTTTCCCTCCTTTTTCTGGTAACACCAAAAGATGTTTCTTTTGGGTTATAAATTTTTCTTGAGTTTTTATAATAGTGGGTAAATATAATACTTGTCCTTTTTTATATAATTTGTTTTATTTTATACTGGTTTATTACAAAGTTCATTTGCATTGTTTTTCACACTGAATCTTTCCTATTTCCTTAATCCACTCCTTTCTCCACCCTTCAAATTATGCAATCCTACGATTACACAAACACCATACCCCTCCACCCTCCACCCATTCTCACCCCTCTGCTTCCAACCTCATACGTGTTTTAATATTTGTCTATTTCTACAAATATGGTCTTATGCAGTATTTGTCCTCACAGTACTGAGTTAGTTCACTTTAGCATAAGGCTCTCCTGTCCCTTGAAAGTTAGGTAGTTATTTACAAAATTATTGCTCCTGCAAGCTGTGTAGAATTTCATCATGTAAATGTACCATTATTTCTCAATCTATTTGATTGTGGTTGGACATTTGGACTATTTTCATGATTTTGAGATGATGAATAACACTGCTATGGACATTGGTGTATAAGTTTCCATTTGTGCTTTTGCACTCTTTTTCTTGGGGTATATTTCAAGTAGTAGAATAGCTGGCTCAAGTGGAATTTCCATATTCAGCTTTCTGAGGAAGCACCAAACTGTCTTCCAGAGTGGTTGGACCATATTACAATCCCTATCTCACCACATCCTCTCCTGTATTTATTACTTGCTGTCTTGTTAAACTTTGCCATTGCTACTAGAGTGAGATGGTGGTTTTGATTTGCATCTCTTATATTGTCTATGATTTTGAAAACTTCTTCATATGTCTACTGGCCATCGGAATATCTTCCTCTATGAAAATTTTTTCTATGTCTTTTGCCCATTTTGTAATTGTGTAATTGTGTAACTTTTGATATGACAACCTTGTCTGAAATGATATTGTCAAATTTCCCCCCTCCCCCCAGTCATTAGGTTTTCTTTTCACTCTGTTTGATGTACATGGGGATTTAATCTTTAGAAGGTCCATTTATTAATTTTATTGTCTCCAGATTGTGCATTTCTGGCTGTATTTGGCAGCCTCTTTATACCATAGACCAGGCCATCTAAGCTTGATCCCAGTTTGTCTCTGATGGCCTTTATGGTTTTAGGCTTTACTCCCAAGTCTCTGATCCACCTTGAGTTGATTTTGGTGTATGGTGTGAGATATGGATCTTGTTTCAGCTTTCTGCAGGTAGCAGGTCTAGCTTTCTCAGCACAATTTGTTGAAGAGGTTGTTATTTCCTCATTTGATAAGCTTTATTTCCTTGTTGATTATCAGTTGATCATAGATAGCTGGGTCCATTTCTGGGTTCTCAATTCTGTTCCTTTGGTCTAGGTGACTGTTGTTGTGCCAGTACCAGGCAGTTTTGTTTACTACTGCTGTGTTGTAGATTTTGAGCTCAGGGAGTGATATGCTTCCCACTACATTTTTGTTTTTCACAAGTGCTTTGCATATTTGGGGTCTCTTTCCAAATAAATGAGACAATTTCCCTTTCTATCTCCTTAAAATTAATTTGGTATCTGTATTGGGATTGTGTTGAATATGTAGATTGTTTTTGGTAGGATTTTCATTTTCACAATATTGAGTCTTCCTATCCATGAACAGGGAACATTTTTCCATTTATTTAGATCTTTTGTTGTGTCTCACAGATATTGTAGTTTTCTTTGTACAGGTCTTTTGTTTCTCTAATTATCTTCACTTCCAAGTATTTCAATGTGTGGTTGGCTTTTGTAAATGGTATTGCTTTCTTGGTTTCCTCCTCTGAGTTCTCTTTGTTACTGTAGAGGAATCCCACTGATGTTTGATTGTTGATCGTATATCCTGCCACTCTACTAAATTGGTCTACTAGCTCTAACAGTTACTTTGTGGACTGCTAGGAAAACAAGCAGATTCATCTGGAAAGGGTCAAACCGGGCTGCTCCTTGGAGGCAAGGATTCTAAGCCTCCGTCTAACATACTTTGGACATGTTGCAAGGAGGGACAGGTCCTTGAAGAGGGACATCATGCTTGGTAGGGTGGAGGGACAGCGCAGAAGGGGAAGGCCCCCTATGAGGTTGATTGATTCAGTGGCTGGGGTAATCGGGATGGGTGTGTCGGAGACGGTGCGATTGGCACAGGACAGCAGAGTTTAGGGATATTGTACATAGGATCGCTATGAGTCGCAAGCAACTCGGTGGCACACAACAACAACAACAACAACAACAACATCATATCATCTGCATACAGTGATAGCTTAACCACCTCTTTGCCAAGCTGGATGCCTTTTATGTCCCTCTCTGGTCGTATTGCCCTGGCAAGCACTTCCAATACAATGTTAAATAATCTAGTCCCAATTCACAAGGAAAATTTTCATTTTTTTTTCCATTGAGAATGATAATGGCTTTTAGTTTTGCATATACATTTTCACTATTTTGAGGAAATTCCCTTCTACTGCAATTTTATTGAGTGTCTCTATCAGGAAGGGATATTGGATTTTGTCAAATGTTTTTTTTCGGCATCAGTTGCTAAGATCATATGGTTCTTGTTATTTACGTTGTTAATATAGTGAATTATGTTGATTGTTTTTCTTATATTGAATCATCCTTGCATACCTGTTATGAATCCCACTTGGTCATGCAGAATTACTATTTTTTTATGTGCTTTTGGATTCTATTGGCTAGGATTTTGTTAAGGCTTTTTACATCTATATTTATGAAAGATATTGGTCTATAGCTTTCTTTCTTGGTAATAACTTACCTGGTTTTGGTATCAGTGCTATGCTTGCTTCATAAAATTACTCTGGAAATGTTTCTCCTGTTTCCTATTTTTTAAAATACTTTAAGTAGAATTGGTGACATCCTCTCTGAATGTTTGGTAGAATTCAGCTGTGATTCTATCTGGTCTAGAACTTTTTTTATGGGGATGTCTGTTTATGACCTGTTCAATTTCTTCTTTTGTGATGAGTCTGTTCATTTGTTCTACATCTGTTTGGGCCAATCTGAGTAGGGCATGAGTACCAAAGAATTTGTCCATTTCATGTAGGTTTTTTAATTTATCACAGGATAGCTTTTAATAGTATTCCAATATTATCTATTTAATTTCATCTGGTTCTGTTGTGATGTCACCTCTATCATATCTTAATCGAGTTATCTGTGTCTTCTCTTTTTTAAAAAAATTATTAAGTTTGCAAGTGGTTGTCAATTTTATTGACCTTTTAAAAAACCAGCTCCTTATCTTATTGCTGGTTTCAATTGAATTTATGTTTTCTGTCTCATTGATTTCAGCTCTTGTGCTTATAATTTCCTTTCTTCCTGAGGCTATAGGATTAGATTGTTGTTCTTTTTTTGTTGATGAAGAAGTTGAGTTGCATTATTGATTTTTTTTTTCTTTCTTCCTTTCTTCCGTTTGGGTCTATTGCTATAAACTGGCCCCCACTGAGGACTGCCTTAGCTGCATCCCTGAGGTTTTGGTACCATGTATTTTCATTTGTTCAAGAAACTTTTTTTAAATTATCATGTTCTAGCAGCATGTTATTTAGCTTCCATATGGATGGTTTTTAAGCTTTAACCTCCTGTGGTTAATTTCTAGCTTTATGGCATTGTGGTCCGAGAAAATATTTTGTATTATTTCAAAGTTTTTTAATTTGCTGAGGCTTGCTTAGTTTCCTAATATATAATCAGTCCTGGAGAATGTGCTGTGTACATTTGAGAAGAAAGTGATTTGAATTTTAGTTGGGTGCAATACCTTGAATAGATCAACAAGATCAAGTTGGCTGATTGTATAGTTTAGATCATCTGCACCTTTCTAAATTTCTT